ATTCGATTTTTTTTTCTCTCGCGTTCTATCGCGTCTCGTTTCTCCTTTGCATTTCGCGTCCTTCAATATTCACGTCGCGAAAAGACGAGCGACAGCAGTCGCCAACGTCCGTTTCTCATCTCTGGCAACAACAACGTCGCGCGCGCGCGCGCGTTTTGCCGTCATCCGCGCTCTCATCTTTATTTTTCGCGTCTTTAACTCCGTCTCGCTGCGTTCTGCCGTAAATAAACGAGCAGCTGGGCGACATCACGAATTGTCGCGTTTCTCTTTTCGCGTTTCCGGTCAATTAAGCGAATGGATACATCCCGCTGTTACACGCGCGCGCGCTACAAACAGGCACTCGGACGATCTTTGATCGCCGAGTGATCGCAGTCGAGTGTTATCGAACAAACAAATGGCATTGAATACAAACCGCGTCAAACGTGTTGTTAATAATCGCGTGACGCTATATAATGAAACGCGTGGAAACTGCCGATATCTGTAAATTATTTCGTCGCACTTTTTTTCTTTGTTTTATTCGCCAAGAGAAATTTGACGCATAATTCTGTTGTATACAATTAATAAATGTTACATTATTCATTTATTTTATAACACACGCGTCAATTATTAATATAGTAAAAATGACGCCGTTGTATTTTCGTTCTCGTGAAATAAAATTCGACGATATAACGCTCGTGTGTCTGTATACTTTCCGCCGGGCTTTTACCGATTACTTCGGTCGACCGAAGGGAATAAAGTGCATAAATATAGCACTGTCACGCTATCGTTATCGCTGCTGTCAGCAGTCTGCAGTTTCTTATTTCGGCATATTTTCCGTGCCTACCTACGTTTCACGATGTTTTACATGAAACGAGTGAGGGAGAATCTCATAAATCATTCATGAAATCTTGCTATCGATGCAATTATTATTCGATATCTCTCTTCGGGTATCAATGTAACAATATAATATATTTCGTGCGAGATATATTTGTTTCCGACACAAATATTGAAAAATACGTATCCCGCGCGACTTACATACCTTGCGAAAGAACAAAGCGGATAATACAAAAGAGCTTTGTTATTCGCGATAATTAATGTATTCGCAAAGGAAATTCATTCCGATGGATTTTCGTTCTCTCGGAAAAATATATTACATATTACGCGATATCGAATATACATGTCGTTAGTATCCACGGACGGAAGAGCGAACTTCTCTTTTCCGCGACGTGAAAGATAGATGAAACGGTGAGAATAGGTAAATCCGAAGAAAAAAAAAAATATATATATATATATATTGCCGCGCGCCATTTATGTAACATCGCTAACAATGTATCTATTCTCGGTGATCCCTTCCTCCCACTCCGTTTTTTTTGGAATGTCTATAAATTTGAATGACACCTTAAAAGCTCTCCAACTCTTGCTTCTTGTTTTTTGTCATTATTTTGTTTCGATGTTTCACATCGTTATTCAGTGCGTGCTCTATTGTTTGTTTCAATCCTTTCTTTCGCGTTATTATTTATTTAAAAAAACACACACACGCGTATGTATATATGTATGTAATAATCGCGTGACGAAAATATCAAAATTCTATTGCCACTCCCGACCGAGTAGAAATAAATGCAATTTCAAGTGACGTTCGGCCGATAGATTCGGGATCACAAAAAAAAAAAAAAGTAATTTCGGTTTCGAGAGTCTCTTTTCTACGGTTTGTTCGTTGAAGTAATTCATGTGAAAATGCATTTTGCGCCAAGTATTATGAAGAGCGCGCGCGTGCGTTTATGCGTGTGCACAAACAGCGAGATTTCGCGAGCACGCAGGCGTTCCGCGGATTCGCGGATTAGCAAAATGATTATAGGGAGCCGATAAATCCCGAGAATTCGTGCACAGAAAACTGGTATGTTACAAATTGGAATAATTATCGATGTGAGTGCATCGGGTAATGGATTCATTTCGCGCCGAAACGTAAACGCGCCCTATTAGCCCTAATACATATTTCGCGCGTTAAACATATATATATATATAGAGAGAGAGAGAGAAAACACGAACCACCTCTCTCTCTATCTCTCTCTTTATTAATTTATTATATCTACGAATTGCGCCAATTTCATAAAGTAAATACATTAAAGCTAGAACGAAGAGAACGTAAAAAATTAAAAAAATTATTTATCTGTATACGCTCTCCTTGTGTTCGGATTATAATTTTCGAAACTACCGGCACAGAAAATTATCTCTTTTTGTTCTCATAAAGGAGAGAGATAAAAATTAAGAAACTTTTGTTGTCCCACGGAGTTAATTAAACACTAATTACAGCGAGCGAGCATCGCGAGGCAAACTGGATTTTCTGCAAACCTTTACCTGAACTTAGTACTCCGATACTCTATGTTGTATAATTTTGCGAGAGAAAAAAAATACTGGCTAATAAGTCTCGCGTGCGTGTATATATACATATATATAAAATACATAAAATGATTGATATGGTTGTCGCGCGCTCTTGGTGTACCGAAGGAAGAAGTGCGCACATTCCATCACGAACTTTATTTACATTAAGTAATTGTACGTCATCTGTATTACCATGAAAGCAAGTTTTTGTTTCTTTTATAAATAATTAAAGAGACAGAAAAAAAAACTCGGATTGCACGCGAGCAATGCAACTTGTCGACGTTCGCAAATCCGAACGATCGAAACAAGATTATAATAACGCATCAAAATCCGTTCCGACAAACATCGAGATCCGCTCTAATTAGACTCCCGATTCTCTGTTTGCCGGCTATTTTCGAACAGCGCGTCTCTCGTTTCGGACATTTCGCGTACGCTTTGTGCCGCGCGACCGTTAATAAATAGATGCGAATCAGTCACCGGATATTGCAACCATATACTTGGCGCACTCCAAATCGTTTCTCGCAACAATGTATATTGATTACAACAGAACAGATTAAGCAAGTGCGCTGTTATTCTCGCACCAACGCCGTCTGCAGTACTTGATAATCACAAAGGACTAATGTCTGTCAATTATATTTATACATGTATACATATATGTGTAAACATGTATATATATTACAGCGATGTTTTTGATGTTGCGTGCAAATACGATTGTCTTGTCCGTTGAAAAAAAATTAAAAATGTAATTAAAAGTATAATTAAACGTGGAAATTATAAAATCGCGAAAATATTGCGTTGTTTCTCTCTCTCTCTCTCTCTCTCTCTAACATATATCTGATAAAAATAATTCTACAACACAATCTATTTGTATGATATGTGATTCGCACAATTCTTCATAAGAAATATCACAATTGTCTACAAATGTTTGAATGTTGCAAAGAAAAATAATAAATCACATTTATGTCTTGTTATACAATATTGTGTAACTTTCGAAAAACGTATAATAAAAATTGGATTTTCGCATAGAGAAGTTGTAGATAGATAGCGTACAGACGTAAGAAACAATTTTCTGAAACTTCTTTAGTCTACGCTCGTAAAAACTTGTACTCTTACGTAAAAGTTATGGCAAAAGAATAGAAGTAAAAAAATACGCAATTACAAAAAACTACGTTGAGAAATTACGATTCTTTTCACGAGGACCAAATACAGTTCCTCAAACTTACGGCATTGTTGAATTCTTTACGAAATAAACGGTTTGTCAAAATATAAACGTGCGTCAAACGCGCAACAAATTACGTACGATAAAAACTACAAAGTTTTACGACGAAAACAAAATTTGAACACAAAGAAATATGAATGTGTCGAATGTTATTTATGTAAACGCGAAAAATATAAAATATTCTTTTTCGAGTTACGCTAAATAATATATTTGTTAAATAATATCATGTCCGCGACGTACAAATTCGTATGTTTATCGAACACAATAATGTTTAATGAAGAAATAGTATAAAGATGAAAAATCGTTTCCTATAAATATATAAAATGTATAAAATATAACTTTGATTCGATGTAATAATTTATATTTCGATACGCTGCTTATTTTGTAAACATTCAAAATGCCGTGAGTTTTGAGAACTGTCTGTGAAAAATCATCATTTTTTTTTTAATTTCTGTTTCTTGTTGCGCATATTTTTTTTTGTATTTTTTATCATCTGTGCGACTTTTTTACATCGAGTTGCAAGAAAATGCGGCCTCGTTCCGTCTAAAAAAAATTTATAAGAATTTGTCAAGTGGACAAATTTCGCAGAGCGAAAACTTATAAATTGTAGTAAGTTTGATATTTATATACGTATTTTTCGCGTGGTTAGTCGTCGATATATATTTTCTTTTGGTTAAAAATTTTTCGAAGAAAAAACTTTCGGAGAGTGATGAAGATATCTTCACCGAAAGTTTACGACGCGAGTGTGTAGCGGTAAACAAGGATGTTCAGCAATGTTCGTTACAGCAACATTCAGCTATAATTCTGCAGCAAACACGTACCCTATTTCGAAGAGACAGATGTAGATCAAGATCTACGCGGCTGGCATACGTATTACGTCGGAATTATGCGGAAATGTGCGGATTTTCAGCTTCGTGTAACGTTGATTAATTAATTTCGTGGGGAGTGCAACAACCCACTTTTGCCGTATTTGTTAAGCGAAATGCAACGTGTGTGCAAACTCGATAGCTAATTAACGCGAAATCGGCAGGTTAATCGTACGTTGCACCAACGCGAAAAACCATTCACATCGTGTCGAACATTATAGTTTATCCGATTATGAGACATTCGCGTTGTGTTGTCAACCAATCCGAGAACATTTCCGAAGAACGAAACACGCACACTCTCTCGCAACTTCAATACACATTCACTAAATGTTCCAATGACCAGACAAGTATTAAAAAAAAAAAAAAAAAACAAAACACATATTTCAAAAATACCCAAAACATTAAGAATTGTTATGTTTCATATTTACACATCTGGTAATTATTTCTCTAATAAACGTCCGGTCATTAGTACCGGTGTCGTAGTCACTGGAACAGTTATTTTTGTCTAACGGAACAAATTATATTGCACAAAATGAGAAGTCTGCTGAGTGACTTACGTGCTTCATTATGGATGGATAATCCTGCGGATAGAGGATCAAAGCTCCGATGAGATGAACGACCGAGAAAATGATGCCGGCTATGCAGGCGTGTCTGAGTCGAATCGGCAGAAGCGCGTAGGCCATGTAGATGAAGAAACAGACTACCAAAGCGGCGGCGAGAGGTCCGCCGGTCCGAAACTGTTCCTGCTGTTTGGCGGACGGGGAGTCGCGGCCCACCTCGGACAACGGCGCCAGGTGAATGCTCAGAGTCACCTGCAGAGCCAACAGAGTGACCAGCACGGCGCCGCTAACACCGGCCAGCCATATTTCGTTCATGCCCGGTCTGGAGATGGCCGCCACCAGAACTGAAAAGAAGAAAACCAATATCTCTCGTGCGAATCCCCTTCCCTGAGCTTGCGCCTCAGTAAAAAGAAATCCCTCGTGGGATTCGCGCGAACAAGTTAAAGAAGCACCAATTCACCCGGTGTAATTCACATCGAAGGTTTTTCTCGGATAATCAACGTTTTATTTATCTAGTTTCCAATTTGTATTTTCGATGTGACGTGTAAAATTAATCGGAAGGAGTGAAAAATTGCGAAAAATCTCTTACCGGCGTAAATAACGATGCAGGCCACCAGCGTGACGGCGAGACAAAGATTTTCGGGTCTTTGTAGCAGCGTGAGGAGCGAGTGTTTGCTGGTAAGCGTCAGTTTCACGATAAGTAGTAGGCCCAATGCAAGCGCCAGACCGGCTAATAGACCGAGCACGTGTGTCATGTTACTCTGATTCATGTGCAAGAAGTAGCGTTGGTATAGCATTTCGACCTGAAAAAAAATAACACACACACACACACACGACCAAAATTGTCGTGTCTATCCATTTTCGGCGAAATAAGTAGAAAACCACGCGTCATATGTGACACGGGTTAAATGCGTGAACGAGAGAATTGTATACAAAATAAAATTGCGTTTGCGCGAGAAAGAGATAGAAACCACAAAACGTATATAAAAAAAAAAATACAAAAAAACATGACAGACGGATATCAAAGAGAGTCTTGTGTTGCACGATTTTAATTTAAATTTGTTGTTATACTCGTGCAAATTGATCGGCGTGAAACTGAAACGTTAAAAACAGTGATAGGACGTGATGTTCAATCAAGCGGAGGAAAAGCGGATCAAAAGAATCGGAAAGAATACGCACACGTGTATGTCGCGCGGATATTCGCAGATGAAGGCAGTTGCGTCAGATCGTTAATAGCGGCTGTTAGTCGATAAAAAATATTTTAACGAAATATCCAGTTTACGTATCGACTTGTGCACATATTGTCACGTGTGCGACACGTGTAGGTGTCTATACAAGGTGTTAAAAAAAATAAAATAAAATATTTTTCTTTCTTTTACTTTGTCTTATTAGAAAATATACAGGATAGACACTAAAAATTTTAGTCATTTTGAACATATTTTCTAATAAAGCAAAATACCAGACGTGTTAGTTTTTTGTATGAATTATAATTTAAAAAATTGAAATATAACGCAAAAATTAAATTAAAAGTGTTAAAAAATATCCCTTTAAAATATTTTACCCTTTTTTTAAACCTTGTACATGTCTACGTACCGGAATCGGGCTCAAAAAATGTACGTGCACAAATATATACGCGGCCGCGGAATATCTCACAAAAAAAATTAATTATTATACCGGTCGATGTGTTACCGATTGGTTTTCCGCACTCGTTCGTACGGAGATGGATATACGCGTAGGTAGGGTGGTAAAATGTGCACCTGTCTGGATCGCATCACGCTAATTGCATCGCGAGGATATGCGCGCGGAGTAAAATCGACCGTGCGGAAGCGATCGTACAAAACTTGTTTTTGTATTTCGTTATAGTTTTTTGAAGGTTACGCGAAATAAAATTCGTTTTTCCTACCCGATAGAAAACTCTGCGCTCGCCCGCCGTATATTTACAGTCGTGTTGTATTTTTTGAGACACGTTCGCGCGACCGACGATATTTAATATTATAATTAATGAAGAGATTTTTGACTACGTGTATTTTTAATTTTATTTTGTAACCATCTCAATTTATTTGTTACTTAATTTAAATATATATATTGTCAACTGATTTATTTTATTTTAAATTTATTTGTTTCATTTAAAATTGTGGATTCGCAAGTGTGTACACGTTGTATTTAATTTTTTAACTTATTGCATTTTTTATAGAGCGAGAGCTCGTCTCTCGTTCTCTACTTTCCACGATTTTCACGTGCGGATATGACAACCGGGTTGGTTCGCAATATTCAAATGTTACAAGTGTTTGGAATAAGAGAAGAATTGTTCTCTTTAAATATTTCGCGAAGAGAGAGCGCGTCTCGCAAAATAGACGAGGAAGATACGAACATGTACATACATACGGGAAATCCGGAAACGGTGCACGAAATATACATGTCATAACGATATCTATTTGCGATACGGGCTCGTTCGCGCAGACATATTACATTACCGCGTCGGATTTTACGATAACACACATAGCGCGCCGGTTAGATCCGGCGGCGGTTACTGCAATTTGTATGTACCACTCGGAAAGATGACGAAGATTTCCCGTGTCTGTCGAAAAGATAGAACTTAATAAAGTCTCTGAGTCAAACAAACGCGTCAAACCGGTGAGAGAAAATTCCGAGATTAAATTTTTGTTTTTTTTTTTGTTTTTTTTGTTTGTTTTTTTTATGCGCGTGCATACGCGCGCGTGTGCAGTACACGATGGATATACCGTCGCCTTAGCATATTTCCGATTTATCTTTCCGCAATGCAGCGGCGCATTCGAAAGATGCATATTACATATTCCCTCCAGACACTTCAATAATGTCCATATTTTCTCTCTCTCTCTCTCTCTCTTACTGCAGAAGCCGTAATTCCCCGAGATATCAGATGAATACGAACGTCAACTCAAATTACAGTTGTATCAGTCAAAGTGTAATTTTTCGCTTTTTTTTTTTTTTTTTATTCTCTTCAACTTTCTTATTCCCCATCTCGTTAAGAGTTAGAGTCGAGAATTTCGTTTTTTAACGTCGCGGTCATTTAAGGTATATTATTCGCGGGGACAATTTACTCGCGGTTATTACTTATACTGTATCGCGTTATGACGCGCACGCGGTCGTGGATAATGTAATAAATTGCGGGGAAAGCGAGCGCGCAAGTGAGAGACACTCTCGCTGAATAATGTCGAGCGGAAACTCTGGGGTTGGCTTTTAAATTGTGAAAAAAAAAAAAAAAAAAAAAATACATACTGAGTTTCATTAAATCCAATTCGACAAAAGCGGAACGCGCACGCGCATACACACACACACACACACACACACACACACGCACAGAGGGAAAAAGGACATCGAGAGAGAAAAGCGCGCGAGAATAGATAACACAGTCGCAGGTTTGCTCAATCAATAGATAGCCGGTTACAACTCTCGATTTTTCTCTCACCGGTTTCCGCAGAATAGGGTGCGCGCGCGCGAGAAAGAGAGAGAGAGAGAGAGAGAGAGAGAGAGGGGACCGATTGACCTTATCGGTGTTTCGAATGATATTACTGTCATCGTGGGCGCAATCGGCCTGGATGGGCAACTCGTTCGCACGGGAGGAGTTATCATCGGTAGTCATAACAATTCGACAAAAGGTCTCGCGCGTCGCTTTGTCATCGCGCTACTCGCTTTAATATTTTAATCTTCCGCGATGTGCGAAAAACTCGCGCGCGGAAACACACAACTGGCAACAATATGCCAGTTCTATATGTTCGTTTCTGATGCAAGCGCGAGCAGCGATTATCGAGCGACACGTTTGCGTCTGTTATCGCTACGTCAGAAAAATCAAGGATTGCGTAACGAGCGATCGATGTGCGGTGCCACACGCGCGTGTGCCGTGATCGCTCGAATTAATATTTAAAAACAAACAAACAAACAAACACACATCGCACGAGAATCTCAACCTGAAGGAAAAGTCACAAAGGGAAAAATATCACAAATGCTGAGAAACGCACCTCAACGACGCGCGCCTTATAAAAGGCGTACACGTAGTAGTACACAGGAGCGAAAGAAAACACGTCTCCGTTCGCACAGAAAGACGAGACTCGAATCCCATTAAATTGTCGTATTGACGTATTCTGTAACGCTAAAAAGAAAGAGGGACGTTTCGTCCCACAAAAATCTGTGACGTAAATCGCGTGAAAAATCACCGATACATCGCGTAATTTAATTCTCCGTTGGCGCGATCGCAAACGTCTCAATGACGGATTTATTGAAAAGAAATAATTATTAAACATGTAAATAATAATCATAACAATTCTCAACGTTTCGCAAATTTTTTCGAGATATATATTTTTAACCGCTGGTTTCTGTAACTCTACATGCGCGCAAATAATCATTTCTTTAATTACTTTTCGGCGTGAGGAATTTATTTCGGGAGTTTTGGGTGGTTATAAGTCTCGAACTTCCGATCCGCGAAAAGTGACACGGTCCCGCCTGAAGAAGGAGCGCGTCCGTGTAAAGTTACAACGAGATATATCCGTCAAACTTTCACACGACTGACCGAACGCGATACAGAAAACGTACAACAAATCTCCGGGGACGAAAAAGCCGTTCTCCTTCGAATCGAAGGAAAGATCTTTCTCTGTCTTTCGTCTCGGTTCTTTGACTCGAGAATAATCGCGAGCTACAACTTCTCTTCGTCTCGGACTGCAATCTCGGCGCGATTCACGCATTTCGAATCCTCGCGATTGTGACGAACCCGGGAACAATTTGCGACAGATATTAAACGGATTAAAGAAATCCGGTCTCGGGAGGACGCGCCCGTAACGTCGGAATAAATTTACCCAAGTCTCAAACCAAGACGCAACCGAGTGCAAACACAATGTCACCTTCTTCGATCGTAATTAATACAAGTCGGGAACATTCAGGCGAGACCCTCGTTACGAGCGATTTCATTATTAACACCGGGAAGATTTTAATGACCGTAAATAAGAATTCTGTTTACTTTGATGATATTATTAATGTTATTATTAATATTATTGTTAAATGTTAATTATTATTAACGTTATTATTAATGATATTATTAATTTTCATTCAAGTTGTCCGGTACTTTCAGCGAAGAATTTCAGCGGTTTCCTCCTCAGTCGATAATAAAAAAAAAACAAACTCAGAGAAAGGTCAAAGAGTGGAGAGATTTAAATTTTAAACCGCACACTTGCGGTCCCGCGTGTGGTAATGATAAAAGAAACGACTAACGCTTCGAGGGAAGCCTCGCATTGTCGCGAATAACGCGACAATTATCCGCGACACATAAATAACGAAATAAATAAATTACGTGCAATCGAGCAGAGAGGTGGATTTCATCTCGCGGTCGCGGGATGAAAAAGAACGGAGAACAATAATTAACTTCTATTATGCGGCGAAATATGAATAATTACGCACGTGTGACCGTGAGATATTCCCAGGCGTGATGCATAATTTTCGTCGAGAATTTCCTTCATTTGCATACATTTGTGTGCGCGCCGCGCTCTGTCGAGTTTCGAAGAAACTAACTTTATTCCAGCGAACTTGTATATATCGCACACGTACGTTTATATTATATATGTGTGTGTTTTTTATGTTACTTGTTTTTTTTTTCATGTATATTATTAACAACTCAAATAAGCGCGTCGCAATCAATTTACGCGCGCGTGATACTGTTTATTATCGCAAATTCACGTCTAGTGTAACGATATAAAACGTCGAATTTTACACGACGACACACGTATGCGAATCGTTCCAGCGACGAGCGGAAAACGTATCCGCTCGTTCGGGCGGAAGAATGACAGCGAATCGACGAAAACGTCGTCGTCGTCGTCGTCGTCGTCGTCGTCGTCGTCGTCGTTGTCGTTGTGACGCGTCGCCGGCGGGAATATCGTTCAAGCGAACGCAATCAAATCGATGCGTGTCGGCGCGCGAGAGACACCCGTGGGACTTTCGTTCCTTCAATTCCCGGCCTACGTTATACACAATGCAGGTCGTTCCCGCGGGAATCGCGTTAACCGAACGAATCGACGAGTCGTTTTTCGATCGTGTCCCGTCATGTTTTTGCAACAGTCACGAGAATCAACTTTCTCTCGGAATTCATTAATTTTCTTGTTCTGAGAAATAATTCTTAAAAAAAAAAAATAACGCAAATTGAAAACAATCAAGATTTTAATATTTTTTTGTAATTATTTTGATAAAAAATTTGTGACGTTTCGGACTTCCCCAGAAAAAATATTAACAAAATAAATCTCGGAGAAACAATTTCTTTCAGAATAACATAGTTAACGTAGTTAATAAATTAATATTCTCATATATCTGCGTGAACAATTCTAAAGTCGCGGCTTGAACAATCTAACTGTTAATAAATTCAATTGCATCAGGTCAAGAAAAGAAACGCGAAATCGTAAAAACCCTACTGACCTTTTTGTTTTTTTTTTTAAGAAAATCGGAATAATTTATGACAACTCGTGCGTTTATAAAAGCGCACGCTAAAAGAGTCTTTGAATGCTATTTCGCGTTACTTCATAATTTCGTATATAAGTGCGCAGTTTCCTTGCTTTCAATATATATGATAATGTTGTGTGTAATATTTAATTTTTATAAAAGCTACATCTTCTCTCTGCTCGAGCAAACCGATTCGCGCTTTTAAGCGCGCAAAGTGCATTACGTCGACAAAAGGAAGAAGTGAAACGGAACGTTCTTTGGGCCGCTGCGCGTGCGGTGTATTCGCATATTCGAGCGTAAAATAACATCGGAATTATTACAGTGCGAGCTTTTGTCGAGAGCGCGCGCACTCTCTGCGTTTGACGGGCGAGACATTTCGATATACATACATATTTCTGTTTCACTGTAGGGGATAGGTAGGTAAAGGGCTGGGGCTATAACATGTTAACCGCGTCGTTCATGCCGCAACAACCCCCCCAGGATTGGCGCGCGGCCCCAGTAGACACCGCGAATGCTCTGTGTCTTCGCTTCGATGTGTGTTTCTGTTTTGCGTCGACAAAACCGACAATTCAACCGCAAAACGCGACGCAACGCGATGTGCTCGGAAACATACATTCGTGGCTTATATACGAGAGAAAGAGAGGGAGAGACAGAGAGAATTTGTCGTTTATGTCGAATTCGTGTCACCGATTGAAGGGAAAACGAAAAGAAGTGGAAGAACTGCAAGACGTGTGAGGGCTTTGGCGAAAGTTTCGAATCGTAAAACTGTTAGGGACTTAAGTAAACGTGGGAAATTTTCAAGTTGTGAGGTATGATGCGAAGTTTCGGATGTCGAAACTTGTTGCGCGATTTTGCGCTTAAGTTTCCTCTTCTTTTTGTTCTCTTCTCTCTCTCTCTCTCTCTTTCTCTCTCTTTCTGTCGTTCTTCTGTCTCTCTTTTTCAGCCGGTCTGACCGAGTTCGCGAACTTTTCCGTGACGCGTGTATTACCCCATATAACACTTCTACAACATGGCGCACACGTCAATTAACGGCGCCGACGTTGTTTCGTTCGGCCGCGCGTGCCTCCGCACATGACGAACTTAAATTAATTCCCAATAGCGCCGTGAATTTGCATGACAAGAACTCGGAGAAAGAAAAATGTCACCGAATTGAGACGAGCCGTCTCGAGATGATCTTCAGTTTTTTTTTCTTCGTTTGTAAGTGAGAGAAAGACAGAGAGAAAGAGACGAAAAAAAAAAGTATAGCTTTTCTCTTTTTCTTTCGACAAATCTTACGCGACACAAGATTGTTAAGAAAAGAAACGTGGGACAGTATAACGAATTATACGTCTCTCATTGCGAGAAATAGAAATTAGAATTCATTGTGTCGCATATAACATAAAGAACTGGGCAACACACTAACTTCGTTATTAATTCGACGGATTGTCAATATGAGAAACGTGCCGAGCAAGTTTCATCAATTCGGAAATTTAGTGAAACGCGGAAATTCAATTAAATTTAATTATTCCCCAATTACCAATGCACCTTTTTTTTTGCGACGTTACGTTTAAAAACTTGGAGCTAAATGCTCCGCATTTCTCGAAGCAGAGTTACAGAAAGAACATATGCGAAAAGAAGAGTGAATCAACCCCACGTATGATCAGACACACGAATCGTATCTATGAGCAAAGAAAGCGGTCGATCGTTTTCCACTTTGATGCAGATAGCTCTTCGAGTTTACATTGAATTCATTCAATATTTAACCGCGCCAACCTGCAGTCGGCGCAATTAATGCGGAAACGTCCGGTTCTCTCTCGTTAGATAACCCGCGATTCATTACCGAACCGATAAAGGAAAAAAAACGAGGAGGAAAAAAAAGAAGAGAGATGAAAAAGGCGCTTTTCTCTTTCGCGCAATCAATTAATTTCCTCTTACCTGGAGATTCTTGAAGCGATGGGAGGCGCATAACGAGCTCAGAAACCCGCTCAGAGCGCATTTTCGCGTGCGCTGCGTGATGTCCGCGTTCGTCGCGGCCTCCATCGCGGAATCCTTCTCGATAGTCGGCCCCATGCCAGCCTCCGAGCCTCTGGCCACCTGCAAACACATTCGAAATAATATCGATAATCACAAAAATGATTAGAACATTTAACAAATGAACATTTATTTAAAAAAATAATTAACAGACGTGTAACAATTTTTTCAATGTTTTGTAATTTTCTATTTTTAATTATTCTAATTTTAATATATATTTTTAAAATTATTTTTAACACATGTACAAATATATATTTTGTTATAATTATTTCCCTAATAAATGTTCTGCCAGTGACACATATGTTCGATTATTGGAACGGTTACATTATATATCGCGGGTCGCTCGGAGAAAGAAAGAGAAAATAGTTTTCGCGGACCGCGCGCAATATAAGCCGGTTGGAAATATAGCTTTTTAATCTTTGAAAAAGCACTCGAAAAATAGAACTACTCAAATATTACAGAATGCAAGTTCGGTGTGTGCGCACGCGCCGGAAGTCAAAGTAAATATTTAATTTTTGTAAAATCATCATCTCACGCGTTCACGTTTTTAGCTAATTCTAGAATAGTGCGTGCGGCAGCACAAGAGTTGCGTTATATTGTACTATTTCTACCGCGCAAATACAGCACACGGTGCATAAATGTGATTTAACGAAAGGCACACACGGCACAGTCCGGCCGGACGTGTGTGTGTATGTGTGTGTGTGTGTGTGTTTGCCTGTAATATGATAATCGTTGCCCCAGTCCTCGCGTGAATGTTTGCACGTTGGCCGCGAGCAGTTTCCGGAACGATAATTCCGAGCTTATTTCGAGAGGGATAATCGGAAGAGGAGATGCGCGCGAAACAAGATGCGCCTGATATTGAAAATTATTATCTACGTTTGTTTATTCGGTCGTGCTTCTCGATATTTTCCTCTCTCTTCCTCTTCGTCTCTCTCTATCTCTCCCGACAAAACGTGTCGTCGTTACACACGTTCAAGCAATTTTTATCGATTTATAAAAACTCGCTCGACCGTTTCATAACGTGAAATTAATTTCGGCCGAGGTAAGCCAGCAGTACGTGAATTTTCGACACTGTAAATAATAAAAATCCCCAATCCTCAAAAGCGCGCTCGACGCAGCAGCAGCAGCAAAACGAGAGCAAAACGCGAACAGAAACAAAAAATCAAACGCGACCGAAGTTTCATATCGACGAAAATGCGCTCGGCGTTTTGTTCGTTTATTGGCAAAGTCCAATAGCGGAACATCGTGCGAATACCACCCCCCCGCCCCTCTGTACGTTCGCCGCGTAATGTTCCGCGTCGCGCACCTCCATCTTGAAAATTGAGCAGACGCATCAAAGGGAAAAGGGATCTGATAAAGTGGTTTCGCCTTTCCGCGTCGTTTCCCGCCTCGCCATTTCCTCGTTTTGTTCGGCGATTCGTACTTTAACCTTGATGGAGTCTCTCGGCCGCGCTGTGGTAATGGAGAAACGTGATGCGCGTGCAGCGGAAATATCCGAACGCGTTTCTGTATCGCTCTGTACAAACACGTAGCCGAGGTCTCATTATTAATAAAGTATACTTTTTCCACGAAGATATACTCGAAATTTTACCCGATCCCGCGTTATAACGAGAAAACGCGCGCGCGTTACTTCGATATATAATGGATTGAGAGAAAGCTTTGATATCTGCGGATAATAATAACGGGTCGAGAGAGACCTCGCAAAATCATCGGGACGGCGATACGTTCGATACTTCGTTTGCAGAAACAATATAAAATTCTTACGTGTGTATGTGTGTGTGTGTATAATTACATTAACATCTTTATATCCGTTTGAACCCTTCAATTAACTACTTTGAAAAATAAAACGTTATTTGCGAGAAGTAGGCTTGTAAAAATATATATATAAAATTATAAAATCACCAAAATCACTCGACGGGTGAAAAAATGTTTCTAACTATAAAATTAATGAAGTTCGAAAGGGCTAGTTTTTGCGTCAATCGAAGGAAACAGATTTTACAATCTGAATTTGCAAACGCGCATCTTGTTAGCGGTCTTCTTACGAGGCGTGTTAGCGCAATCGTCTTAAATGAATAATAAATAAAGCGACGATGACTCACCGTGATGATTGAAGGACGCGGCGCGCCGGTGAAGTGCTCGATCACCTCCCAATTGGACTTTTTGATGGGCGGAGTGTGCGGCGTCTTCGGCGTGTTCGGCGTGTGCGGTTGCGAGGACGGGGTTGAAGGTTTTGAACCCGACTGATCGAATAGTAATTCGACGCGGGGTTTGCCGCCGTTACTGCCGGTACTCACGTGTTGTCTGAGACTAGCCCATCTCCTGGTGGTCTTAGGCGCTCCCACGCCGCTCGCTCTGGGCCCGACATCGCTCTGACAATGAACGAAGAAGAGACAAAGAAACGATTGAGTCGTCGCAATTTGTTAGACAAAAAAAATGTGTAAAGTGAAGTATTTTTTACAGTTTTGATAAGATTATTTTATCAAAAACTGTTTGAATCTATAATCGTTAGTTACACTCATTAAAGATGCATTGGAGGTTCCGTTTAGGATCTCACTCCAGAGAGAGCGCTGACGTCAAAATGATGTTGTCAAATTGTTTTTTAACAAGAAACTAATTAACTTTGTGTCTGTCAACTTTGTATTTATCTGCGAATGAGCAAAATAAAGTGACGTTACGGACACTGAAGTCGGCGCGCATTGTCGAACTATTGTCTCGTAAACAGCAAACCGCGTCAGCTGTCAGAGATTTCAACATGGTCATCGTCCATATACGTGGTTGCGCCGTCGCGCTTGTCGGTCGTGATAACGCGCGACGTGAGCCGTCGATGCGGAAAGGCAGCTTTCGCGAAAGCGGGGCTCACTTTTTCGGGATCGATAAACGACCCCGAACGAGCGAGCGAACAAGCGAGCGAGCGAGCTTGCGAGTGGACGCTCGCGGGGGGATTGAAATCATAGCCCCCCGTGAAACGAGCCGCGTGTTCGTATTTTCTACGCCCCACAGCAGAGCGGAAATCTTTTCTCGCGAAATCTTCTTCAATATACGTTCGCACTTTACGCCGCGAGCATCGCTGCGCGACAACGGATGACGACGGATGCGAGTAATTCTCTCGTACGTGTACACAAACAAGCTCTCGTAACTGTAAACAGTTGTCTTACACGCGCGCGCGCGCGCGTGTACACAAACAAACAGCGAAGAAACAAAAGCGGAGGAGTTTGAGTGCGCGAGCACTCATTCAACCGGCACTAATGCCTCGATGTTCGATTTAATCAGAATTCAATTAAAAACTACGCGTTTTGAACATATCGCGGATACTGCACTTTTTTTTTTTAACGGTATTTTGAGTTAAACTCTACGAAATACACAAACCAAATACGCCAAGCGTTTAATCCAAAACGACAAAAATAATTTCCAATTAAGAGCTGTGTGACTTGCGTCCGGACTTGTCGCGCGTGAACTGAACTTTTTTAACGATCTCTCAAGCTATACTTTGCACGTATATAGACGAAAAAATCCGGATCTAGTGTCTAATTGAAAGCGCGGGAGTAACACCTAGATCTCTCGACTGCTAAGTATTTACGTCAATTAGCGACGTTGAAAAAAAAAAAATAAAAAAAAATAAATAAATACTCAGCGCTTATCCGGAGAGATTCCGAGTACATTTCTCCTCGTGTACAAAACTACATACACGCGCTTCTTAAATTCTTAGCGTGTTGTATACCGCGCCGGAGGCTTGACATACATAAAAACGATAAAACGCGCTAATGGACGTTCGGTGTCCCTTGATGAAACGCGTTGAAATTTCAAGCACTCGGAACGGTTCGGTCGTGTCGTGTGTCTTTTCGCATTCTTCGTTGACGTGTCCCTAACATATGCGCGTGCAATGTGTGTTTCGCGAGGTTCGTTGATAACATACCACCTGGCACATTTGTGTTCTCGCGCGCGCGGATATATCTGCGACACGCAATGACAGAGTTATGTGCGCGCCGGATTAATAATCTTTCATTCTCCTCTCTGATCGCGTTATTTCGTATTATAATTATATTTAAAAAAAAAAAAAAAAAAAAAAACATTTCTCGTTTTTTTTTAAAACGTACACAATGTAATTTCTCTCGATACGCGCGACGACAATTAAAAGACGCTCTATTGGAATGTTTACGATTTGCGTTCTCGCGTTAATTAAAAACAATAAATAATATGTTTTATTTGCGTACTTTTTTCCTCTTGAAATTAATGTGTTTGCACAAATATATTTCGCGTTCTAGAAATTTATTCTCGCAGAAGAGCCATTATTCGCCGTCACACACACATACACACGTAGTGATGTATATTCTGTGCATTATATGTTTTAAACAATATGACTGCGTGTGTGTGTGTGTGTATCTATATTGCGGTACATTATTATGTATAAAATAATTTTGCTTCTTCGAATACGTATCGGTGTTAATATATTGACGCAAAATAATAATAATAATAATAACAACAAACTTTATTATGAATGCGCATATGAAATGATTAAATTATCTTTATGTCAATCCGTAATTATCGTTACCGGGAGACGTGCGTATACGCGATAAAAACCAATTACGTCCGCCCTAATAATGCATGAATATATTCGTCCAATTTGCTCTTTCATAACTGATATTTTTCGTTCCACGGGATGAAACTGCTCGTTTTTTCTCATTTTTTTTTTTTTTTTTTTGTTGTTGTGAATATATGCCACGAAACCACACGCGAGTGTTTAGTTAAAAAAAAAAAAAACAAATCCGGTTATGAATAATACATGCAAGAACATGCATCCTTTGTGCATTGCGATCTTTACCTTTTTCCGCGCGCGAGAAACGTACGAAAGTACGGTCACACGCGGTTAAAAATACAAAGTACACGAAAACCATACCGGAGAATACATACGGAAATTACATATTAGCGAAATTTATGCACGTATAAATACGCTACGTGAGATAAATAAATGCAAGTGTAAAATATTAAAAATTGAAAATTATCTCACCAAGAGAATTTATTCAATTACACATGTAGGATGAGCGAAACTGTAGTTAGCATCTCTCCCACGACTGATATTTAACGAATTTTCCATAATTATTTTACTTTTTATTTGACATTATAATAAAATTAATTTGAATTTTTTTGTTGCAATATATTATATCAGAGTTCTTTTTTAGTCGGTATTTTTGAGAAAAACAAAGTTGACAGGTCTTTGAAGTGTCAAATCAATTGAGTGTTTTACCCTACGTGTGTACACATCTCCAATATTGTATATATAAGATACATCTAATTATAATAATAATACATAAAGTCAGAGCTTTAATGTCATTTTACACAATGTGTACACAAACTTCATGATGGATAAAAAATTATATATAATTCCCGACGGAGTAGTTACCTCGTAAGCCCTTCGACTCCCACGAAGACTTAGCCTGTGGCTCCATTCTCGTTTCGGGAAGTCCATGCCGTATTTCTCCATGTCACCGGTCTTCTCGAGTACTGGAAAGTCCTCCGGGACTCTACCGCAGTGTGTCGCTCTATCTATCTCTCTTTCTCTCTCTCTCTCTTTCTCTCTCTCTCTCTCTCTTTCTCTTTCTCCGTTATTTCATGTTTCGCCTACGTAAAGAGGAAATTTGTTACACCGAGATATCTTTCATCTTGCGTCTCGCTTTTAGCAACGCGGCTAATTAAAATAAAGTGCTCTGATTACGCTTTAAATTATTCAATACTCGATATATATATATATATATATATATATGCGCGTTTAACGTTTAAGATAATGAAGTTGTGAATTTTATAGTTCGCATGCGAAGATCTTCTTTCAACTTCTTTTGCGAGAAAATAAATTCTTCTTCCGCGCTGTAACAACCGTGGTGTTAATAAAGTTGGTTAGAACAAAAACTTCGCTGAATATATGTTCTCCCCAAAGTGTGAATCCTTTAAACCACTTGTGCGAGATTTAAGTCTCGAGCAGGTCGTTACATCATCACACTATTTGCGACATACAATATAGCGCCGCACACTCATTAACCCATTTTATCATTCTAACTTGAACTTCGAGTCGAATTAAAACTTATTGAATTAATAATTCGAGCAGTATTCGACGCATATATATATATACAGAGCGGCATATTAATTTCTGGCAGACAGCGCGCGGTATAGACGCGGATAAAACGCTAACCGGAGCACGTCGTACCTCGAAGGCAAATTTACCTCGCGTCTCTGGTTTTGGCATTAAAACGCACGTAGGGCTCGCGATGTCTGTAGATCGCGTGATTCAGACAGAAATAATCTTTATCATCAGGCAAATGTTTGTCCTTTCGATATTGCTCGAGATAAATCTATGCGCAAGCCGCGTAATTATTATTATTTCTGTCGCGAGACAATTCTTCTTATGCGATCGTCCGCGGTAATCGGCGGAAAATCCATAATGCACCGCGCCCCTTCGCCACTGAACATAAATTATTTGTCTAGCGTGCGCCGGGACGTAGGACTACGTGATTATGTTTGCCCACACGTAACGCTCTCTCTCTCTCTCTCTCTCTCTCTACGTCCGTCAGTAACGAAGTAATTGTTAATAGGCACTGGACAATAGAGCTGCCACGGTATTATATTATGAAGCGGAGGCGGAAAGCGCACTCCGTTCCGAGATCGATGAACGAAAGTCATCAATTTGCCGCGCATGGACTCGCAAAAACTGCAGGCGATCGGCGGGATATTGTTTATTCCGAGAACAGAGAGAAGACTAAGAGCGGCCAGAGCCATATGAAAAACTGTAATACCTTTTCCGCTCTATAAGCCAGCGCTATGTCCATGAATAGTGCACATTGGCAATTACAGCCATGTCCACGAGAAACTTGTCAATACGTGCGCTATGTCCGTAAACGTAGACATGGTTGTATTCCGCGATTTGTCCACAGTGTGCGGATCTATTCTGTTCCTATCCTGACAGGTTGAATTTACATTTTGAACGGTTAACCGACCCAGATATGAATCTGACCGGTTAGGATTAGGATATGAACCTAATCGACCCAGATATAAACCTAACCAACCCAGATATGAACTTGATCAATCAGGATGTGAACCCAACCCTTCAGGATTTAAATCCTGATTTTAGCCGATCTGTATGTGAACTTAATCAGTCAGAATGTGAACGTAACCGGTCAAGAACCTAGCCGATCAAAATGTGAACCTAACTGATCAGGATGTGAGCCTGTCAAAATATGAACTCAATGTGTGAAGGATGTGAATAGAAAAAAAAAACCGTACGCTGTGGAATAGAACATAGCGCAGAATAGAACTATGTCCTTGTTTGGACATAGCGTTGACTTACAGGACGGAAAAGCTATTACAGTTTTTTATATGGCCCTGACCGTTCTCTCTGTGTTCTCTCTGATTCCGACTAGTTTGTTTATATTTCCTTTCCGCTTGTTGTTTACAAAGCGCGCGCGCACGATTATACAAGAAATTCCCTTCCTCATCAGAATTCGAGCCGTTGCACTTAATTGCTTAATTATCTTACGTTTGACGTTCATAATATATTTTAATTTATTAATTGTTGTAATTTGTTTACGTGTTCATTAATATTTCCTCTCTTGTTCTCTTACAATTGGAGCGTCGTGCGTATTTGTCACAGAGATTCCACCATGTGTGCGCGAATTTTACAAATTACCAATAAACTCCTTATTCCTTCATAACGTGCGGTGCGCTTACATTATCGATCTTTCTCGCGATTTTTAAAAATTTTTTTCTTAATTTTTAAAACATTTTTATCTTTTTGATACGCGTAGAGATTAAAATCTCGCGCTTTGTTCTGTGACCGGGACAACATGTAGATTAAATAAATATAAACACGTGCACGCAAACGAGGAGAAATTAAAGCTTGTTTCCGCGCGCGCGCGCACGTATGTACATAAAAGTCATTAATGGACAATTTGTAAAGCGGCATTACTTTATGATTAAAACGACGAATTAATTAATCATTAAAGTCGCCGCGCTAACGTGTCACCGACGACGTTGTTAAATCGAGGCTATAACTCGACTCGCCCGCCGGTCAGCCTCGTTAACGACGTCACACACTAATTGAGCTCGTGAATAATAATTATGATTAGTCGCGCGCTTCTAGAGACGCGTCAACTCGCATCACTGTGTCTTGGTATGTTAATTCGTTCGCTCGATGTTGTGTTGCGACGCGCGCGTGTCAGATACAAATAGAAGTTCTCGCGCAAAATGTTTCTCTAATCGCGGTCTCTCTCTCTCTCTCTCTCTCTCTCTCTCTCTCTCTCTTTATTTAACAAATCGGCAAAAAAATCTCTACGGAATAAATTATCGTGTGTGCGAACGCGCGCGCACTTTACGTTTCCACATACACAGAAGAGGGGCTATATCACATCGATCGTTTCGATCACCAGTTAATACCTCGACACGGTGACATAGTTTTTTTTTTTATCTCTCGGATTGCACACACACACACACAAACATACACAAGACGTTATTGTTTCGCCGCGTAAATTAATACTCTCGCACGCAATGACGTTTTCAAGACGGCGTAAATTCTTCATTCGACGAGCTTTTTAATTTTGCAGCGGAGTGTGACATGGCACTTTCTATTTTTCTTACAGCGGAAAAAGTACAACATGAAATTTTTTTTATTCTTACGAAGAACAGTGGAACAGAACAGTGTACTTCGCGTGATTGTTCAAATTTAATAGATGTGCGTATGTTTTATACGTTACGAGTGAAGAAAAAAAAGCGTTCGTACACCGCGACTCGATATGCGAAAAGCAATTGCCCTCGTGCGTAAACAGAAAAACAAACACAACAGGTTTATCTACGACGAACCTTACGAAATATCGTTAAATTATTTAGAGAAGGGATTAGGTAAAAACAATGTGTATCAAAAATTTACGTCTTCTCAGTGGTCGTTTATAAATTATAAATCGGTCTGTGGAAATATATGATTGTACCGGAAAGTGCGCGCTTTGGTAAAGAGAATATGATGGGGATGGATAAAAAATTCAAGAATCTCGTTTCGCGTTAAACATCATGTCACGCAACTGCGATTTGTTAACGACCAGGCACGAACTCTCTCTCTCGCTGCTTCGTGCTCAATGAAGAAAAAAAAAACCGCGTGTGTTCGCGTTATTTACAACAAGATGAAACATATCGCGAGTAACAATGAGTATCGTGTGCTATCCACACTTGTTACTTTTGTTCCCTCGAGAAGCAATTTATGACCGCTAGGAGCGTTACGTTACATGCATAATTACAAATTTGCACTGTAAGGACGCACGGTTGCGAAAGCGGGACGCGGTCAAACGTACGTACGTACGTGTGTGTGTATGTGTGTGTGTGTGTGTGTGTTTGGGTACAGATGCACGTTCTAATTGGCTTCTAATCAAAGTAACGAGTAACAAGCTTGCGGAAACACGAAACATTTCGCGTCACGTAGCTTCCGAAATTCTGATCTTAATAACACGCGCGCGCGCGCGCGCACAACGGAGCGTTCGTCTCTCCCAACTATCTCATCGATGTTATTGTTTCCAAACTTTTGTCCTAACGATACATGTGCTCTTGACCAGTAATGATTCGAATAAAATATTCCCGACAATAAATAACTTGATTTGATTACACGTGCGGAAATCCGAAAGGCGAAATCGAGACGCGAAATTAGAATACATACAAAAACCGCGCGCTTATTACACAATCGCGTGCTAGAGAGATCGAGCGGAAACTCGGCCGGACTTTCGTGTAGCGTGTGTGTAGTTGTTAGCGCGGCAACTCACGTTACACAGGGTAACGTATGGTACGTGGTGGAAGACAAGCGTAGGAAATATTTAAATTGTACGTTCGAGTAATCGAACGCGCACGGATGAGGCGCAAACTTGCGTTTTCGAGTTTTCTTTTGAAAAAGTGACAGAACAAGACACCCAGTTTCATCAATTCGTCAATTTGACGGATATTTGAAAAAAAAAAAAATCGTTTTATTAATGTTTTTTAATTTCCTTTACATTTACACAACCAACAAAAATAGCTTTCAGCTACAAAGATTTGTAATATTTCACACTTATTTTTTTCTCGCGTTGAAAAAATTCTCAGAACATTTCTGTAATTGAAAATATTAACGAGAAATCCGTCAGTTTGACAAATTTCATTGTTCTAGTGCGAAATATTAACGACATTGTAATTAAGAAACAATTTGTTGCGCGAACATCAATTCCGATCGTCGTAATTTTTTTTTTTTTTTTTTTTTTTTTTGACCTCGTTACAACAGCCCAAAGATAAATGTACACGCGATTGGATGGATATCATTATCCGATAAAAGAAGCGCGTAACACTCGGAATGATCCGACTTTGACAGTTCCTAAATGAGTTCTGTCTGTTGCAATTCTTGTTGGCAGTTTTCTGTCTGTCTGTCTCTTTCTCTCTCTCTCTCTCGTATCGTCTAATGAAATTCTACACAACTCTCAACATTGCAAATGCGTGCGAGTGTGTATGTGTGCATGCGCGCGCGAATAATTCGAGAGAGTATCAATGCCAAGCGAAGATAACGAGCTATTCGATAAAAACTTTAATACGATTTCGCG